AGCTCATCTCATGGAAGGATCGGTACAAAGAGCTGGGAAGATGGGCCTGCAGAAGACAAGGCTCAGGGAGCCGTGAGAGGGCTCTTCAGCGGTCAGAGGGGCTGACACGTGGAGGAGAGTCCTTCGCCTCAGAGAGTAGAACCAGGGCCAGTGCAGGACAAGGTGCCCCACAGACTGGGAACCCTGGAGGCCACCGAGGGCCCTTCCAACTGGTAATTCTGTGCCTGGCTGGCAGGGGCCCTCTGTGGTTGGAACCCTTCATCTCAAGGCCCCTGACCCGCATCCCACTCTTGCTTTTCTCCCTTCCCTCCCCCAACAGCAACTCAGCCTGAGATGGTTGCCTGGGACTGTGCCTAGATCCAGCCCCAAGATAATACCCCAGATCTGCTGAGATGGCTGCTTTGGATAGGGGTGTTTTAAAAAGCCCCAGAGAAAGGAAAAGGCAGGGGAGGAGTGGGGTGGGGTGGGGTGGGGCATGGCATGTACCTGGTGACCTGTGCCTGCCTCACTCCAAGAATCTGGAAGTAAGACAATTTGTCTCAGTCTTGGGGAACTGTAGCCCTACTAGAGATCTGGTGGAAAAACCCCCGGGGCTGTGTTTGCTGCTGGTCCAGTGACTTCCTTTGCTGGCCTGTGCTGCTGGCAGCAAGTGAGGGTAGGTGTTCTCAGAAGCCTCTCTCTTCTCTTCCTGGTTATGGAGGACAAAGAGGGTCCTGGAACCAGCTGGGGGGCCATTGCCAGGAGCCCACTGGGGTTCACACCCAGGGCACCATGCCAGGGTGTGCTTCTCCAGAGCCAGGCCAGTAGAATGGAAGGTTCTTGAGGGGAGGGCTGATCTTGTCCTCTGTATCTCTAGGGCTGGACACTGGCCATGCCTGTCATGTTATAGACACTAACGTGCTCATTGACCTGTGGTCAGTCGTTGATAAGCGTTATGGGCCTAGAAGTGCTGAGGGACACGAGGACCAAGGATGAAACAGTCCCCACTCGGCAGAGCCACGTGCCTCAGTACCTTGCTGCTGATCGGGACATTATCATACTTTTAAATTAGCAAATATCTATGGTCCCTCTCTCCCACCTTCCCCTCCCCTGGGAAAAAGGAAGAGAAACAAACGCTTGTAATGAATATGCAGAGTCAAGCAAAGCCAATTCCCACGCTGGCTGTGTCCACAGCTCTGCCACGTTCTGGGCCCAGTCTGTGCCTGCTCTGGCCGGGATGGAGAAGGTCCTCCGTTATCCGTTCTTGGGAATCAGAATTTCAGTGTTGTTTCTGTTACAGTATGGCATGCCTCACTTCCCTTTGCATCAGTTCATATAAGTCTTCCCAGCAAAGTGGGCAGAGGGAAAAACCCAAACTCAGGAAGACCTGAGTTCAGATCAAGTTGTTGTCTAGCTGTGTGACCCTGGGCAAGTCACTTCACCCTGTTAGCCTCAGTTTCCTCATCTGGAAAATGAGCCGAAGGAGGAAATCGCAAACCACTCCAGTATCTTTGCCAAGAAGACCCCAAATGGGGTCAGTGGAGCGTTGGATAGGACTGACTAACAACAACAAAATGATAATTAATAACATCTACCTTCCAGGTTGTTGTGAAGATCAAATGATAATATTTGTAAAGTGCTTTATGAAGCTTAGTGTGCTATATTTAAAAATGCTAGTGATTGTTATATTTGTCAGTATAATTTATATTGATATTGCATTGAATTTATAGGATATATTTTCATTTATATTCTATATTTTATGTATGTTATATAACATAGTAATTATTATTATTATCATTATTATTCTCAGGCTTCTCTGAAACATCGCCATCACTGGTGTTTCTTATGACAGTATTCCTTTATATTCACATGCCATAATTTGTACAGCCATTCCCACGGAGGGGCATCCCTTTAGTTTCCAGTTCTTTACCTCTACGAAAAGAGCTATCAATATTTTTGTACCTATGAGACTACCGATTATTTGTTAGTGGTTGTTGGAGAGTGAATTTCAGTGACACCAGGCATGCCTTGGGGTGTTGTCCCTAATCAATAGAATTTTTGTCAATGGCTGCTGAGGGGGAAAATTCTTTTATATCGAATGGTGGACATTTATATAGCACTGTCAGGTTTGTGAAGCACTTTACTATAGGTGTGTTATCCCTATATAACAGATGAGGAGACTGAGGCTCAGAGGGTAAGTTACTCATCTGTGAGTGGGACGGAATCTCCAAAGTCCTTCTGTGAGGGGCAGCCCAGTCCCTCTTGGGGCAAGCCCATTCCTCTTTCTTTCTTTCTTCTTTCTTTGTTAGTGAGGCAGTTGGGGTTAAGTGACTTGCCCAGAGTCACACAGCTAGTGTTATGTGTCTGAGGACACATTTGAACTCAGGTTCTCCTGACTCTAGGGCCCATGCTCTATCCACTGCGCCACCGAGCTGTGCCCCCATTCCACTTTTGGGACCACTCTGATAGAAACTTCCTCCCAGCAAGCCTTAATCTGCTGGGAAGCTCCTTCCCATTTCTTCTGTCTAGTTCAATCCTCTAGGCCAAGGAGCACAGAGCCCGTCATCCCCCTTCCCTGTGAGGGACCTTCCAGTCCTTGAACAGTTCTCAGATGCCCTACAAGGCTTTTCAGTCAGAACAGCCCAGAACGGTTCGTTTCTCTAGCACTTGACGCTGTAGTTAATGGGATGTTATTGACCCTGCTTCGCAGGTGAGAAGCTCTGAAAGGGAAGGGCGCCTGGGCCAGGGCCACACAGGTAGTGAATGTCAACAGGAAGAGCCAAGATTCAAACCCTGTGTCCTTTTTTTTCCCATTACATCATCAGCCCTTTCCCAAAAAGAAAAAAACCAGAACTTTCCAAGAAGTCCGTTACCTTTAAATAAGATTGCGCCAAAGATATCAGCACCAGACGTAAGGGGAAGAAGCTGTGGGTCTGGAGTCAGAAGACTTGGGTTCCAATTTGCTCTACTCTATGTCCCAGTGGAAAGAGCCCTGGATCGGGGCTGTCAGCCGACACAGGTCCAAACTGGCCGTGCCAGTTACCATCTTCTGACTTCAGGCAAATCAGCCTCAGTTTCCTCAGGAAAAGAAAACCAAACTAGATTTTTAGGGCTCCTTCCAGCTGTAGACGCCCTAGCTCCCTTGAAGGCACCTCCTACAAGAAACTTTCCTGGATTTCCCCCAGTTCTTCAGGCTTCTCCCTAGCCCGACTGGGATGGTTTTGCATTGTCCCAGCGCCCCCACCCCACCCCAGTAAACTCCCTGAGGGTAGGAATTGTTTTATGGCTAGAGCCTAGGACTGGGAGTTGAGGCCTTTCCTTCCCTGATACCAGCTACTAGTCAGTAAATCCTGTCATTTCTCCCAGCCTCAATTTGTCTCGTTACGGTTAAATGAAGGGCCCTCCAGCAGAGCCTCCCCCGGGACCCCCTTCCCCGGCCCACCTCCCTGACCCCCTCCGTCCCCGCAGGTGGCCATGGTGGAGGTGCAGCTGGACGCCAGCCACGACTACCCGCCGGGGCTGCTCATCGCCTTCAGCGCGTGCACCACGGTGCTGGTGGCCGTGCACCTGTTCGCGCTCATGATCAGCACCTGCATCCTGCCCAACATCGAGGCGGTCAGCAACGTGCACAACCTCAACTCGGTCAAAGAGTCGCCCCACGAGCGCATGCACCGGCACATCGAGCTGGCCTGGGCCTTCTCCACGGTCATCGGCACCCTGCTGTTCCTGGCCGAGGTGGTCCTGCTCTGCTGGGTCAAGTTCCTGCCCCTCAAGAAGCAGCCCGAGCAGCCCCAGTCCAGCAGGGCCCCTCCTCCGGCCGCGTCCTCCAACGCCAGCTTCACCCCTGGCCAGGAGGCAGCCATCGCCTCCACCACCATCATGGTGCCCTTCGGCCTGGTCTTCATCGTCTTCGCGGTCCACTTTTACCGGTCGCTGGTCAGCCACAAGACCGACAGGCAGTTCCAGGAGCTGAACGAGCTGGCCGAGTTTGCCCGGCTGCAGGACCAGCTGGACCATAGAGGGGATCACCCGCTGACCCCTGGCAGCCATTTTGCATAATGCCCCTCCTCCACCCCCCTGTCCCGGAGCTCGGGGGCGGGGAGGGAGGACAGTTTGGGCTCCGGAAGGAAACCTGTCCTGCCTTAATATTCTAATTTGACCCCTCTCTCTGATGCATGAGCCTGGAGGACAGTGGGACCTGGGACTTGGTGGGGGAGAAGAGGAGTTTTTGTTTTTAAAGCCTTGACTTAGGAACTTTTGCCTCCTTTTCTCAGCCCTGCATTTCCCTGTCTGATGGGGTAAGCGCTGCAGGGCTAAATCGGGGACAATTCTCCCTCAGCCCCTTTTTTCTCCCCTTTTTTTTCCTGACCACCATTCACAAAGTGCCATCCGGATTCCGTGCCCCTAGACCCTCCTTGTTGAGCAGTGAGAGAGTGTGTGTGTGTGTGTGTGCGCGTATGTGTGTGTGTATGTGTGTGTATACACACAAAATATACACTTGAGGGAACTTGGCTCTGCGTGTCCATGTTTGTTGGGCTGGGGCAGGCCAGTTTTCTCCAGATATTCTTCCCCCTTTCCATTCTCTCTATCTCTGCTTACTCACCTGCTTCCACCAGTGCCCAGCCCTAGGAGAAGTTTGCCTTTCTCTCAGACCGTCCCTTGGTTTTCCCAGGCACAGGGCAGAGTCCTGCAAGCTGGGATGGTGGGACTAGTTCTCGGGCAATGGGGGAAACTTCTTAGTTAAGGAGGAAGGGTTCTGAAAGCCTGGTACGGGGGCAGCAGAGCTGGATTTTGAATAGAGGAGACCAGGGTTCTCATCCCAGCTGCGCTAACTCAGGAGTAATCTTGTGCTGCCTTTCTTGGCCTCACTTTCCCCATCTGTAAAATATGAAGGGCTTGGACTAAAGTCCTTTCCAGTGCTAATATTTGATATCCTCTGTCTCATCTCTCTGAGCAGTGGCCAGCTTCCCAGAGCCTTCCAAAGTGTTGGTGATTTTATACCTTTTTCTATGGAATGCACATATTTTACAAAGAGTCTTTATTTTGAAATAAACCCCAGTCTACAAAGTCAAAGCAGTGTGTGTATCATGGTGGAACTGAGTGACTCCCTAGAGAAAGGCAATTATCCTCCCTTCATGTGATCATATGCCAGCCTGCTCTATCCTTTCGTCATGGAGGAGGACGAACCTCTTCCAATATTATTTCAAGCAGGAAGGCAGGAAGGAACAAACATTTATCCAGTGCCCACAACGTGCCAGGCACTGTGCTGAGGGCACTACAAACATCTTATTTGATTCTGAGCTGGGGTTGATGGTATCTGGCCGATCCTAGAGCTGGGCACGATTCTGGATGACGGATGGCTCATGTGAAAACGATCTTGGAATCTCAGTGGACTTCCAGCAGCTGTCTGATTTATTCAGATAACATGGCAGACCAAAAAAGCTCATGAGGGCTTAGGCTAAGTTAGTAAGGGGCATAGGGTCCAGAATGTGGGAATGAGAGTCCCCCTGCTTAGCCCATAGCTAGAGGACTGTTTCTAGTTTTGGCTTTTAGGAAGGATGCGGGCTTACCCATTCCCAGAGCAAGCCCACAGGAAGTGACCTGTGTTTTGAGGGGCCTGGAGTCCTTGTACAGGAATCATTTGAAGGAACTGGGAGTGTTTAGCCCGGAGGAGAGAAGACTTGGGGGGAAGGAGTAGAGCTGGCTTCAGTGCTGGCCTAAAGCTTGGAGATTCTCACAGGTATTTTGGGTTCTGGTCGGCCTGAGGGGACTGGTCATTCTTTGACTGGTGCTGGGGCAGGGGAGAGCATTGGCCCTGCCTTGTAGGAGCCCAGGCCCCCAGCCAGGTACCATCATTGATGGCAGGATCCCAGAAGAAGGGGTCGGTGGGGATAGATCTGCCGGCCAGGGCAAATCAGAGGCAGCTTGAAGGGCAGGGGGCACTCATTCCAGCCTGGGGCCAGGCTGGGGAGTATTTGTGAGATTGTGAGGATTAAACGTTTACTTCAAAACTCTGAACTGACCTTCCGGCCTGAACAAGCCTAGCATTCTCTGACAACTGAATTTCCAAGCCCAGGATGTGTTGGGAAATTCTGATGACCATATTTTTACTCGGATTAAAGAAAAATCCCACAAAACACTTTTGGATGAAAAGGGGTACAGGGAGTAGACATCTTGATGGTCAGTGACCAGAGCCCCCAGATTGGGGAGCCAGGAGCCTGGAGCTCCCGTCCTGCCCTCTGCTGCTTACACTCTGTGACCTTGGCAAAGTAGGTGCCCTCTCTGAGCCAGTTTCCTCATCTGTAAAAGAAGAGCTAAGACTGGATGTTCTCCAAGATTTCTCCAAGCTCTGACATTCTCTGTCCTAAAGCCTTCCTGTCTGAAAGTTATTGTTCTAAGCTGCCTCCCAGCTCTGATTTGTGTTCTAAGCCCCTTCCCAGCCCTAACCTATGTTCTGAGCCCCCTCCCCAACCCTGATCTGTTTTCTAAGTCTCCTCCCAGCCACGATCTATGCTCTAGGCCCCCTCCCAGCCCTGATCTGTTATGGGCCCCCTCCCAGCTCTGATTTGTGTTCTAAGCCCCTTTCCAGCCCTAACCTGTGTTCTAAGCCTCCTCCCAGCCCTGATCTGTGTTCTAGGCCCCCTCTCAGCCCTAACCTATGTTCTGAGCCCCCTCCCCAACCCTGATCTATTTTCTAAGCCTCCTCCCAGCCCTGATCTGTATTCTAGGTCCCTCCCCAACCCTGATCTATTTTCTGAGCCTCCTCCCAGCCATGATCTGTGTTCTGGGCCCCCTCTCAGCCCTGATCTGTGTTCTAGGCCCTCTCTCAGCCCTGATCTGTGTTCTAAGCCTCCTCCCAGCCCTGATCTGTGTTCTAGGCCCCTTCCCAGCCCTGATCTATGTTCTGAGCCCCCTCCCCAACTGTCTGTGTTCTGGGCCCCCTCTCAGCCCTGATCTGTTTTCTAGGCCCTCTCTTGGCCCCAACCTTCTATGTTCTAAGTCTCTTTCAGCCTTAGCCCTGGAAGAAGAAAGGTATCAGTGGGGAATGGTAGAGCTGGGCAGATGTTCCCAAAAGCCATGCGTGGGACAGGCAAGTCTCGGATGAGGTGATTTACCAGAGTCACCCAGTGAGTTGTTAAGCAGCGCATAGAGGAGGCCCAGGTTATCTCATTTCCTATGCTTTTTCCTCTGAGACTGGAGAGCTGTGGGGGTAAAAGAGTTTCAGGCCCAGGGCTCTGCCTTAGGTGAAGCAGAGGGCCCTGAGAAGCTGTGCCGAGAGGGAGAAAGGGCCGACCACCCTCTCTGGTCCAGCTGCCCATTCCTTTGGCGGAATGGTTGGCTGGAGGGGGAGCGATTTGCCAGCGTGTGTTCTAGGCCATTAAGAGAAGGAGTAGCCCCATCCTCAGCAGAGAGCTGCTTTCAGTCTGCACAGCCCATCCCAGATCTGCCCCCTCCTCTCCCTGCTCCCCAAAGCCCTTCACAGGGAATGAGGTGAGGGTAGACACAGGGCCCCTAGATACATCTTCCCTTTATCAGCTTGACCCACCCTGAGCGGCCTCCCCCCCAAGGGCCCTGATGACTTGGCCTTGGGGAAGGGGGGGCTCCTGACCAGCCCCCCAGTTGCTTCCACTGATCCAGCCTCTCATTACTTCTGCTGATGGTTTCAGTCTTCCTTCTGGAGGAACATGGCTACAGCTTCCTCCAGCACCTTATCGGGATCCAGCAGTTCAATCTAGAGGGAAGTGGTGAGCCTTAGGGTCAGTATGAACTCGGGCCAGAGGAAGGGGCTGACCCTAGTGCTTTCTTGGAGCTGAGCTGCCCTCTCTGCCAGCCCCCTGTTAACCCCACCTGTCTGGAGGAAGGCTGGCCGGCCCTGTCTGAGTCCTCTAACAAAAGGCTTTTGTTTCTGCAGCCTGGCCCAGATCGGGGTGTGTCCTGTCTCCCTCCCTGTGGGAGGAGGGATGGCGCTGGGCAAGAAGAGAGGCAGGTGACTTCTAGCTTTTGGCAGCCCCTGCCAAGGGCTTGCAAGGTGAGCAGCCGCTGACTTAGCAGCCTGGGTTCTGAGCCCCAGTGTCTGGGCCAAGTGGAAGCACCTTGAGGGTTCATTAAGCATAGTATCACTTGATCCTCACAGCAGCCCATGAAGCTGTGATGTGCCCAGGATCATCAATCTGTCCTTCTAGGCAGGATTCGAACCTAGGTCTTCCTCATTTCCAAGTCCAGTGCTCTAAGCTACTCCCCATGCTGCTTTCCCCGCTTAGATCATCACAGAATCATTGACCTAGGGCTGGAAAGGGCATCAGAGGCTGTCTAGACCATCTCAACTTGCAGATGGGGAAATTGAGGCCCAGTGGGGACAAACGACTTGCCCAGTGTCCCGCAGGCAATGAGAATCAGAATCTGGGTTAGAACCAGGCCCTCTGGATCAGTGTCTATCCATCCCACTGTACCCCGCGGTGAGGCAGCTAGTATGAATATTTCAAGTCCCTCTTTTGTGGGATAGGGCTAGAGAAACGAAAGAGACTTCTCTGGGTCTAGGAATGGAAGCCGGGTTTTCTGGGAGGTTTTGTTTGTTTACTTTCCCCCTGTAGCATCCTGATTGTCCTGTGTCCTGGGAGGGTTGCTACGACCTCCAAAGAGGTATGGATGCTCAGGCGGAAAGGGGGCGCCAGAGAGGACTCCTTAGCCTCTATCACAGCACAGCTCGGGTGCCATTTCTTAAACAAGGCCTTTCCCCAACACTGGCACTGTATCTTCTTGAAACAACTTTGTCAGATTTGGCAGACTTTGTATTGGTGCCTGTGTGTATAAATGCTGAGGGCTAGACATGTTTCTTTCTTTGTTTTTGAACTCCCACCATCAAGAGCATGCCTGGCACATTTTTATGGTGGGGGAGGCCCAGATCTGTGATTTTTATCCCTCTCTAAGGAGCTTCCTTTGAGAAAACTCCACCAATGCAGTCTGGCATCCACTCTGTAACACAATCTTAGAGATTTGTCTGGGACAAGTTTAAGGGGACTGGGAGAGGGACTCAAACATAATCAGGATGTGCCTGACGTAGGACTTGAACCCAGGTCCTTCTAATCTCTATATGACATGCCAGGGTTGTAGGGGCTTAATAAAATGTTGGATTGATGCTTTTTGAAAAAAGGGGGAAGGGCAGCTAGGTGGCACAGTGGATAGAGCTCCGGCCTTGGAATCAGAAGGACCCGAGTTCAGATGTGACCTCAGACACTTTACACTTACTAGCTATGTGAACCTGGGCAAGTTACTTAACCTCAATTGCCTCACCACCACCCCCAAAAAAAAGAAAGAAAGAAAAGGGGGAAGGAGAGAGAGTACGTATGAGCCAACTGACCTCTGGGATGGGATATTTGGTGGGCTTAGGGGCTTCGTCCCGACCAAAGTCGATCATGATTCCACATTTGGGCACGTCATCTACCCATAAGCCCTCAAAGAGCTGCCCATGGTCCAAGTAGAAGAAGCGGCCAGTCCCATTCTTCATCCCATATTGCCAACAACCTTCATAGCGGTTTCCATTGCCTTTGGAGAAGTAAAGGGGAGGGGGGGATGAGGCTGGAACCTTGGCCCTGAGCATCCAGCCTTTCTAGAAGAGATGAGAAACTGAGAGCATCTGAACAACAGAAATCAGTCAACCAGTAGTTGAGGGCTGGCCCAGCCCTGTGCCAGGTCCCAGGAGGCCCACTTAAAAGCTTACAGTCTAGCTGAAGAGAAACAACTCCCTCATGGTAAGTGAGAAGGTAAGTGAATGTTGTAGAGAAGAAAATACCAGCTGAGTTCCCAGAAGGAAGCCTTGATCACTCTGGACTGAGGTGATGAGGGATGGAGGGAGGAGGTGCCAGACAGAAAGGGGAGGGTCCTGACTGCCAGTCTAGGCAACTAAGACCTTCAACAGCTCACTTCTCTCTCTCCTCCGGCCTACAGCTTCTTATGTAAAAATGAGTGGTGGGCTTTTGTTGTAATAAAGAATAGCGGAGCAAGTGGTGATATGTGAATGTAACTGTACCGTGAGCAAAGATGTGCATGAGGAATTCAGAGAAACCTAGGGAGACTTGGGTGAACAGAGGCAGAGCCACCCAAACAGAACCAAGAGAATAACTGACTTGATGACTACAGTAATGTAAAGAAAAGTAATGGGCCTTGGAGTTAGGAGGACCTGAATTCAAATCCAGCCTCACACTTGACACTTACTAGCTGTGTGACCCTGGGCAAGTCACTTAACCCCAACTGCCTCGCCAAAAAGCAAAAAAAAAAAAAAAGCAACGGGGAAAGACTAGAACTCATTTATTTCCAGACGCTGCAATATGTTGATTTGTTTTTGCTTGAGCGTACGTATCTGTTACAAGGGTGAATGGGGAGATGGTGGGGTTCACTGAGAAATGAAAGTGAGATTTTTATTTTTTTTAATTTAATTTTTATTTATTTATTGGTTAGGCAATGGGGTTATTAAGTGACTAGCCCAGGTCACACAGTTAGTAAGTGAAAAGTGAGATTTTTAAACAGCATCAATAAAAATAATTTTTAAAATTGGTGTTGTGCAAAAGCAAATGCTGGACTTCAGAGTCAGAAGAAACTTGAGTTTCATTTGTCTTGTGGATATGGGCAAGTCACCTAAACTACAGAACCTTGCTTTTCTCATCTGTAAAATGGGGATAATTATACATGTCATATCTACCCTGGGTTCAGGGTGGACTCAAACACCATGGATATCGAGCACTTTGCAAGACTTAAAAGCACCGCGTAAAAGCTCCTAGGATCATAGAATCAGAGGTCGTGGTGTTGGGGTGTGTGTGTGTGTGTGTGTGTGTGTGTGTGTGTGTGTGTGTGTGTGTGTGTGATGGACCCCGTTGGCAGTCTAGTGAAGCCTATGCATCCCTCCTCAGATTGTTTTTAGGTGCATAAAATAAAATACATAGGATTACAAAGGAAACTAATTAGATGTCACCAATTTTTTTAAGTCCACGGAGCTCCCCCAGTTAAGAACTCCTGCTCTATTGGTAGAAAGGACCAAAATGGCCATCTGGGTCAACTTCCTCATTTTATAGATGAGGAAACTGAGGCCCAGAGAGGTTCAGTAACTAAAGCCTTTATCTAAGTGGTATACAGGGTGTTTTCCAAGAAATATAGGTATGATTCAAAAAAGGCTGAGCAGCTGGTTCACCTAGCAAGAGCAAGAGATGACCAGTGGAGAGCATGAGCGCTCGCTCCATGGGTAGGCTCAAGAAATCAGGAGGACTGAAGGAAGCCCTCCAGCACACTGGGGCTGCGGTGACTGGTGGGAGACGGTATGGACAAGAGTCACCCAGGATGGGCGGGCATGGATAGGCTAGGATCGGCATCTTTGGAGGGAATATTACTCACATGGATGAGATCACATATCCATCAGTATGTAGGAGTACACAATCCCTTACCATCCTAAATCCTGTGCCTGAATGGCCTCTAAAGCCAACTTCTAGCTTGAATGTTCTATGTTGTCAGGACATGTCGAGCTGCCCGAGGGCAAGACCCACATGTTTGTGTGACTTCTGTTGGGCAATCAGGCAAATGCACAATTTCCTGAGAGCAAACTCACTCCCACTGGATAGGGGCAGAGCCCCAGTGAGACTTACTTAGACGGAGCATGCCCTCCCCATCTCTCTGGCCCTCACTCCACTGGCCCTCGTAGATGTCTCCATTGGCATAGTACATGCGGCCCCATCCGCTTCGAAGGCCGTCCTTCCACTTTCCTTCGTAGTATTCCTTGGGCCCGTAGTACCGGATGCCATAGCCCTGCAGGAGGCAGAGGGGCCAACCTGCCTCAACACCCCACCCATCAGTCAACAAGGAAGAGTCCTCTAAAGCCCATGAGCTAATGAAAGGATACTCACCCCCATTCAAGAGATGAGGAACATTAAGGCTAAGAAAACATTAAATGGCTTGCCCATTCAATGCCACACAGCTAGTAAGGGTCAGAACCAGGATTTGAACCTGGTATTACGGACACCCAACTGAACACCATTCCCACAACACAGCCCTGCCTAAGGAAGGCAGAGTAGACTGTATTCCCAGCCCAACTGGGCTAGAATTTAGGGAAGGTTCCTTCCTCTTCCAGGCCTCTTCCCAACTTCAGAAGAGGAAGCTATGAATTTTACTTTTGCTTTGGTTGGCCCTGGGCCCTCCCCTGCATTTATTTCTTCCAACCCTCCACCACCTTTATCACCACCCATCCTAGCAGAGGAAGGTACCCGAGACCTACAACAAAGACCCTTCAGCCTAGAAAATAAAACCAGGAAATGATAAAAACCTAGGGTGTGGGTGGCACTGGGGCTAGGCCCTTTTGTGGGGGGAAGGGGCGGGGGAAGGAAAGGAGAGGTTTCCTAGCCCCTCCCCAGTTCCAGGGCAGGAGGAAGCCCAAGCCCCATGGCCTATTTGCCTCCCTGTCTGTCCAGGTTGGCACCTAGTTTTGGCTCCCACCCCCACGTCTTTCCTTTCTCCTGCTTTCTGTTTGCTAATGATTTGATTCCTGTGATACTGAGGGGAGCTGACCCTGAGGCACCCTCTGTCACCCTCTCTCAGACCTCTTCTCCTGTTCCGTGGTTTCTGAGTCCCTCCTCCCTCTTTCTCCTTAAGTCTTGGAGTTTGTTTTCCCTTAAACTCCCCAGGTAATCAGCAGCCTCTGGGTTCCCCCCAGATCCAGTCTGGCAGCCCTGGCCCTCCTTCCCTCCAACCCTTAGCCCAGAGATCCCCTCTTCTCCTCTTGCTGAGGAACAGCCCAAACTCACAGCTTTTTTGTCGTTTGCCCACCAGCCAGAGTAGACCTTCTTATACTTATTCACAGGGTCAGGAAGGCTGAGGGTCCCATAACCATCTCTCTTCCCAAACTTCCATTCTCCGTGGTAGATAGCGCCACTTTTTTTCCACCTCTGGATTCCTCTTCCTGATGGCAAGAGACAATACCGGACGTGGCTCGGATCACCTTATTGGAAGAACAGCTTGTCTTCTCCCTGCTGGGGCTCTCAGGCTCCAGGAAGTTCTTCCTGCTTGGGCTCCCACTGCGATTTCCTTGCCCAGCACTTTTCTGAACCCCTTTTCCAACTTCTGAGACAAAGTTTAACAGCACACTCCTGGGTCAGCATTCCCATCCCTTGTCGTTGGGCTTCTCCTCAGATGCCAAACTGGTTTATCCTCTTGGAGTTGGAGTCTAGGGAAGAGTGACTAGGGAGTCGATATGTCTGGAGTTGGTCAGACCTGACATGTTACTCCCATACTCACAGAACTCCAGGGCTCTCTTTGAAGCCCTTCACACCCTAGCTTTCTGACCTCATTATACATTATTCTCCCCCTTCCTGTACGTAACAGTCCAACCAAAGCGGCCTGCTTGCAATTCTTCACCCACTACACTCCATATCTCCCATCTCAAATCCGTGTCCTGGCACGGGCTAATCTCTGTTCCTGAGATGCTCTCCTTTCTTACCTCAGTCTCCTAGAATCCCCAGCTTCCTTCAAGACCCAGCTTCTCCTTCTACAGTAAGGCTTTTGTGACTCCCTCCCCACCTCCAGGCACTGCTAGTGCCTTTTCTCCCCAAACTACCTTATAAGGTATAGCTGACATTTATTTAGTGATTTAAGGTTCACAAAGCACTTTTAAAATATCTCATTTTATCATTGCAACCACCCTGAGAGGTAGGTGCTATCATGATCTCCATTTCTTATCCCTATTGCCTTCTACTTAACTGAGAAGTTAAGTGACTTATCCAAGGTAACATGGCTAGGAGTATCTGAGGCTAGATTTGAACTCAGGTCTTCCTACACTCCAGGTCCAGCACCACCAACTGCCCCTTATTCTGTATACTGTATATTCTTGATCCTTTTTTTTTTTTTGATGTGAGGCAATTGGGGTTAAGTGACTTGCCCAGGGTCACACAGCTAGTAAGTGTGAAGTGTTTGGTCTGAGGCTGGATTTGAACTCAGGTCCTCCAGTGCCAGTGCTCTATCCGCTGTGCCACCTAGCTGCCCTATACTGTATATTCTTTATCGGCTTACCTAAGTACTTATTATCTCCCTTGACAGAATGTCAGCTCCTAGAGGGCGGCTTCTGTTTCATTGATGCCTTTGCATCCTGAGCACCTAGTACAGTGCAGGGCATGTAGTGGGTGCTGAAGAAATGTTTGTTGATGGATAGTTATGGCTTAGTTCCTAAGTCTGGGTAGCCTTGCTCAAAGATCCTTAAGTTTCCCACTTGCCCAGCCTGGGAGGGGACGTGCTTCTTCCTAGGCTCATTTATAGGACCATCAATCTAGAGCCGAAAGGGAACTCAGAGGCCTATCTGGTTCAACTCCCGCATTTTACAGATGAGGAAACTGAGGCCCAGGGAATAACTTCCCTGACTTACCCAAGGTCACACAGCTACTAAGCTTCCTCCTTTTCCTGCTGGAAATCCCTAGGAAGCATAAAAGCTAGACGATTGACCTGGCAAGGAATCAAGACTGGCAGGTTGGGGGCCCATGCTCTAGCTGATACATGGGTGTAAGGGACTTTGTATGCCAGGAAGAATAAAATTAATCGACAGGCATTTATTAATGCCCACTGTGTACAAGGCACTGCTGTTTGGTGCTGAGGATACAAAGACTCCCTTCCCTTGAAGAGTTTACTTTCTGTTGGGCTGAGGTTAGACATCACACAAACGTGTAAGTCCAAGGTCATTTGGGAAGGAGCACCGGTGGCTGGGGAGCAGATCAGGAAAGGGAGGTGAGAGATGGTGTTTGGCTCGAGCTGAGGTTCGAAGGAAGTCAGGATTCTAAGAGGTAGAAGTGAAGGATCGAGGGAATTGGAAAGTCACGAGGGATGAAAGCTCATTCTGCTTGGCCCCAGAGAGCAGAACTGGAGCAACAGTTGGACAGGAAAGCTGTAGAAATGCAGATTGCTGGCTCATTGGAAGGCAGATATGACAAGGCAGAGGGGTGGGGTTCAGGAGTCCAAGGTCTTGGGTTCAAATCTGCCTCTGGGGCAGCTAGGTGGTACAGTGAATAGAGCTCTGGCCTTGGAGTCAGGAGGACCTGAGTTCAAATCCAGCCTCAGACACTTAATACTTACTAGCTGTGTGACCCTGGGCAAATCACTTAACCCTGATTGCCTAAGCAAACACACACACACACACACACACACACACACACACACACACACACACACACAAGACAAAAAACAAAAACAAAAGTCCAATCTGCCTCTGAAACTTACTACCTGGTGTGATCCTGGCAAAGTCACAACCTACCTGGACCTCAGTTTTCTCATCTGTAAAAATGAGGGGGTTGGAGACTTAGTGTTTTGGGAGATTACTTCCAGCTTTTTAGGTATAAACTACCTATCAGCTGGAGGGTGGATACGTCTGTGCGGTAGAGATTGTGTGGAAAAGAACCTCAGTCAGGTGTCAGTTTGACTTTGTGGTCACTGAGATCCCTTCTGATTCTGTGAATCTGGTAATGAGAGGTTCTGTATGTTGTGGGTGTGCAACTAATAGCTAAATAATTGAACAAATGAATGAATGAATCGGGAAGCCATCACAGGAGGATAGATTGAGACCTGCACAGGACCTCAGAGACCATTCTAGTTCAATCCCCTTTCTTCACAGATAAGGTAACTGAGGCCCTGAAAGGTAAGTGACTGCTACAGGTAGTAATTAAATGGCGGTAGGATTCAAACTCAGGTCCTGTGATCCAAATCTAGTACTCTTTCTACCGTAGCATGAAGGAAGGAGGAAGATCACTCATTGACTCCTCACCTCTTCAGCACTTAAGGACAGTTTCTTCCTTTGTAAATGGTCAGGAATTGGACTAGATGACCTCAGGGTTCCCTGGCTACTCCTCATTCCTCTAACATACCTTGACATGCATCCGTTCTGAGTTTCTTTGTCCTTTTGCAGATCTTTAGCACAGTGCCTGATCTACAGTAGGCACTTAATAAATGCTTATTAATTGCTCTTTTCCCTCTGTGTGACTTGTGTTTCCTTAAAGACCCCTTGTGGATAACTGTCCCAGTGGGGCTCAATATAGTGCTTTCATTCCCAAGGGAGGCTGAACCTGTTGTCTGTTCACTGACCCACCACCATGACATGTAACTGACCGTTGTGTACCTTTCAGGGGAAATATGTTGTCATTGAGTCAGCTATGCTTTCCCCTAGTTCTCCTGGTGCCTACCAGTCATTAGACAAGTGACCTATGGCCTTGAGGTAAGTTCTCCCCATGCAAACAGACCAAGATAAAATCCAAGTTTTGGTCACATGTGTCCAAAAATGGTCATAGAATTTAGCCCTGAAATGAATTTTAGAAATGATCTAAATGACCAAAGGCTCATAGGAATAGGAGCTGGAAAGGGCCTTAGAGGTCATTGTCTAACCCCTCATTTTACAGATGAGGAAACTGAGGCCCAGAAAAGATCATAGTATAATCATAGACCTGGAAGCAACCATAGAAGGTCCAAACTCTTCTTTTTTTGTTTGTTTTTGTTTTTAGGTAATTGGGGTTAAGTGACTTGCCCAGGGTCACACAGCTAGTAAGTGTCAAGTGTTTGGTCTGAGGCCAGATTTGAACTCAGGTCCTCCTGACTTGAGGGCCGGTGCTCTATCCCCTGCGCCACCTAGCTGCCCCTAAACTCTTCACTTTACCTGTGAGGAAACTGAGATCTAATATAGTTAACTAATTTGCCCATGGTCACACAGGTAGCAAGGGGTGAGAAATGAAAAGCTAAAGGCCAGGCTTTCTGACTAATTGCCCAGAATATTCCCATTTTCCCAACCATGAAGAGCAAGGCATTCGGGTCCTCTGAATAAAATGGCTCTGGCGTCTCTCCTTCCAAATTGTTTTTTTCTTCTCTGTTTTTCTGGATGAAGAGAACACTACTCTCTCTCCCTTGACTCCTTTCCATACTCAGGGATGAGCTGGAAAATGGTAGATTCTGTAACTATCTAGCTGGGTCTTAGTTTCTCTCATCAGTGGAATGGGAAGAGTGAATTCTTTTTTTTTTTTTAAGGCAGTTGGGGTTAAGTGACTTGCCCAGGTCACACAGCTAGTAAGGATCAAGTGTTTGGTCTGAGGCAGGATTTGAACTCAGGTCCTCCTTACTCCAGGACTGGTGCTTTATCCACTGTGCCACCTAGCTGCCCCTAGAAGAGTGAATTCTTAACACCACAGGCCAGAGGGACCTTGGACACCATTCAAGCATAGCACTCTGGAAAGGGAGCTGGATTTGTGGCCAGAGAATCTGGGTTCAAATATCATTTTTTCCACTTCTTAGCTGTGGGACCTCGGGTTAGTTAACTTTTCTGGGCCTTCATTTCCTGACTGGAAAAATGAAGGAGCTGGACCAGGTAAACTGAGGTTGGGGTTGGATTAGATAACATTGAAGGTTTGATTCTGAAGGTCATAGAGCCCTCAGGGGCTCTTAAAGGTCAGCTAATCCAAACTGTTCATTATACAGAAGTGGAAACTGAGGCACTCTAAAGAAAGGCTGAGCCCCTTGAGCCATGTCTAGAAAATAATACCACCTCCCATTTCTTTAATACCTTAAAGCTTATAAAGGAGGCAGTGTGATACGGTGGAAACATTACTGCCTTTAGAGTCAGAAGATCTGGGTTCAAAGCTTATCTCGGATGCTTACTATCCTGTTTGACCTTGTATAAAAGTTGCTGGACCTTTCTGGGCTTCAGTTTCCTCCTCTGTCAAATGAGGGTTGAAGTAGATGACCTCTGAGCAAAAGTCCCCGAGCTCTAAATCCATTTCCATGCTGAACTCACCCTTTTGACCCCAACTTAATGCCAGAAAACAAGGGACAAACATATGGAGTCTCCTCTCCCACTGCAGCTATGATCTCTAAACAGCCCCATGAACACGGCTGTGTACTGGGCAAATCAGTTTAACTGTGCCTCGGTTTCCTTATTTGTAAAATGAGGGGATTAATCCTATGAACCTAATTAGAGCTGGGGTGGGGGGCAGGGATTGAGGGCATAGGAGTTAGTTACTGTGTGCCAGGCAGTGTAATATATATATATATATATATATATATATATGTATATATGTAATATATATATATGTATATATGTAATATATATACTATATATACTAACATATACTAAGTATATAATATATATAATAATATATAATATATAATATATTATATATATATACACTAAGTATACTAAGCAAAATACTAAATGTTATCTCATTTGATCCTCACTACAACCCTGAGAAGTAGGCACTACTATGATGCCCGTTTTACAGTTGAGGAACCTGAGGCAGAAATAGAGTAAGTGACTCGTCCAGGGTCACACAGCTGGAAGAGTGTGAGGCTGGATTTGAACTTGGGTCTTCCTGATTCCAGACCCACTGTGCAACCCAAGCCCACAGGGGTTACTCTTCGTCATAGGAGTCTGAGAGTCTGAAAAGCCTTTGTGGTGGAAGGGACAGAGCACCCAGACTTCACCTGAGCCTCTGGCCCAAGAGGAAATGGGCGTGTTCTAAGTCTCGATCTAACCTTTTTGGGGGTGCCTCCAGAGTCATGCTGACCCCACTGCCCTGTTGGTGGTCCTCAGAAGGTCCTTACCGTGTTTCTTGTTGTCCTTCCATTCCCCAACGTAACAGTCACCATTGACGGCATAAACCTCGTGTCTCAGGCCGCTCTTCTGGGCCTTCCGATCCCACTCAACCCACAAGGGTGGGGTGGTCTTAGGAGTCTTAGTGATGGGCATGGTGTTCTCAGCCTCAGTGGAGGACCTGAGAGAAGGAATGGGAGTATTAGAGAAGGAGGGACCTCTTCTGATGCCGGAGTCAGTGTTTGCTTGGGTTCAGGGTCCTTTGGGTCCGGGGACTTTTCCTAGATGTCAATTTTTTAGACAACTCCAAGGTGTCATTTCAAGATGGTTTCAGTCCCCAGGGGCGATGTGCTGCCCACTGGTACCTTCTTCTGCTTTGACTTTGGGCTCACCCTGACTCCCCCAATCCCTTTCCAGGGAGCCATGATGACACAATGGGTAAGCCAGAGTGGGTGGCCCCACAGTGGGGGATGTCACAGCATCGGAGCCTTGTGACACTGGTCCTTATTTGGTATCTTGCAGCAAACCTTTGGTCCCTGGGAGTCACCAATGGGGCTGTAAGAGGTTAGCTGTAGGGGAGGGGCACAGAAAGGGAAGAAGAACTAAGTTAGGGGTAGACATGGTGTGGGAAAGCAGGGCTGGAGACGTATTCTGTGGCATCCCTTTTATGCAGGTCACCTGGATTCCCCAGCCAATCCCCTGAAGCCCCAGAGAGACCCAGAGAGGAAGAATCTAGAAGATCCTGGTCTGGGATCCCTGGATCTAACAGGGCCCTAACAGCAGGCACTCCATGGGATCTGGGGACCATGGGCCTGTCTTACTTACAGAAGGGGGTCCTGGGTAGAATGCTGGGGTGTCTGCAAACAGATACAGGGGAGATGATGTAATACTGAGGTGAAACATACTGCATTCATATTACCTTCTGTCCAGATTGGGTGTAGGGACAGCAATGGAATCACCACATGGTGCAAGGACTCTTACATGGGAGGATGTCAGAGCTTGGAAGGACCATAGAACATAGAAGGTCAAGGTTAGGAGAGGGCCCAGAACACAACAGCAGTGCCGGAGGAAGCAGAGTTGAGAGGCCTCTTAGAATACAGAATGTCAGAGCTATGAAGTTCTAAGCTTAGAACGTCAGATATGAGAGGGCCCTTAGAACACAGAATGTCAGAGCTTGGTGGGGGAACCCTTAGAACACCAAATATCAAAGCTGGCTGGGCCCTCAGAACACAGAATGTCAGAGTTGGGAGGGGTCTTTGAGATCATCTAGTGCAACTCCCTCATTTTACAGAAGAGGAAACTGAGGCCTAAAAAGAGAAAACCTACTTACTAGCTGTGTGACCTTGGGCAAGTCATTTAACCCTGATTGTTTCCCAAATTTTTTTTAAAGAGATAGGAAATGATACCTTTCCAAGGTCACACAAGAGGTCAATGGTAGGACAGACACTAGAACCCAGACTTTCTTACTCCCAGTCCAAAGTCTTTTCCTCTCCTGCCCCTCCTCCTTCCCCACCTCCACAGACCATAGTAAGCATAATTTTGCCTCTTCTATTGGCCTTGAGGGGGAGATGAAGCAAGGCAAATCTCTAGGTGGAGGTTGGAGGCAAGATTTCTGAGTCAGAGATTTATGAATCTGTCACTTTCTGGGATTTTTTTTTAAGCTCTAGGATACTAAGACATTCGATGGACAGCCAGGAGGTGGAGGAAGGAGGTGCCCTTTGGGGGTGGGGTCAGTAAAGCCTGGAAGCTGCCAGCTCAGATAACCCTCATCCCCCAGTTATTTGTTCATTTCTCCTTCCTGTCCTGTTAAATTTTCAATTCTTTGAAAGCAGTCTTTTTTAAAAAATATATCTTTGTATCCGAAATGCCTAGCCCAGAAGCCTTGCACCTAACAGAAGCTTAATAAACGTTTCTTGTATTCAACAGAATTAATTTAGGGAAAATATTGGGATGGGGAGAGTTTTCCATCAAGAATGCTTCTCAGTATGAAACTCTCTGGGTCTTCATACAATAACAACTCAGTAAAAACAAAGCACTTTGAAAAACTCTGATCAACAGAAAAGACCAGCTAGGCAGGATTCCAGAGGAACCCCCACCTGCCCCTCCCCTCCATCTGTTGAGGGACTCATGGTATGGAAGGAGACATACATTTTCAGCCCATGTAGAAATTTGCTTACTTTGACTATGCTTTTTTGTTGCAAAGGTTTTGTTTGTCTTCTCAATGTTGGGGAGGGGGAGGGTGGGAAGAAAAAGTGCTTGCTAATTGAAAAAAAAATTTAAACAAATTTAAAAAATTTCTTGGGGTCCTGACTGCATCAGGAAATCCTCAGGACTCGGAGGGACAGGGAGGAAATGGGGATTGCTTAGTAATAATAGCTGATACTTCTAGAGCTAAAAAGTTGCAAACCAGGACATTCATCGTCTCTTTCGCTGCCCACACTAGCTCTGAGAGTAACAAACACAGCAGGTGTTATCCCCATTTAACAGAAGAAAAAACTGAGGCAGCGAAGTGAAGAGATTTGCCTTCACGTCACCCAACTCTGGGTTCACTCTGGGTCCTGGGCTTAGGACTCCCCAGACTCCGTCTCTAGCTACGCATTGAAGCTGGTTGCTAACTGAAGGTAACTTACCAAGCATTTACTAGGCACCTACTATGTGCCAGCGGCAGCTAGGTGGCCCCGTGGATAGATTACTGAGCCTAGAATCAGGAAGACCCATCTTCTAAAGTTCAAATTCAGCCTCAGACACTTACTAGCTGTGCGACCCTGGGCAAGTCCCTTCACCCTGTTTGCCTCAGTTTCCTCATCTGTAAAATGAGCTGGAGAAGGAAATGGCAAACCACTCCAGAGGCTTTGCCAACAAAACCTCAGATGGGGTCACGGAGAGTCGGAAATGACTGAAAAACGACTGAACAACAATAGATGCAGGTGTGTTAGGTATTGCGGGCTTGCAAAGACAGAAGGAAAATCACTGTCTCTGGCCATATGGAGGTTATAGTCTTCTAGACAACGTTGGCGCGGATAAGTGAAAAACGAGGTTTTAGAGGTAGGGGACCAGCCAAGGAAGGCTTCCGTCTAGAAGAAGTGCCACCCAAGACGAGCCTTGACAAAGAAAAGAAAGAATTGGAAAAGGCTGAGGTGAGGAAGGAAGCAGCCCATCTCCGGTGTACCCGGGTTTTGTTAGTGTTCTAGAAAGGAAAGACTCCGTGACCATCTTGGTCCCAAATCCCCTTATTACAAAGTAGGAAATTCAGGCTCAGAGAGGTTAACTCATCTACGCAGTAAGGAAAGGCGGCAGGACTGGAACCCCGGTGTCCTGAGTCCGAGGTTCTCTGGAAACTCCTGCCCAAGGAGGCATTCATCCTTGGGGGTCGGGTCCCCCACCCTTTCCTCTCTGGAAGCCCCTCAATGCCCCGATAGCAAAGTAAGAGGATGAGAGATAGGGCTCGGGGGAAAGCAGGGGACACCTCACGGATCGCTCCACGTGGTGGTGGGGAGAGTGGGAGGTCAGAGGAGGGATGGGGTTCCCTGGCAGGTGCTCCTGGCGTCTCTCTGGCTTGCACAGCCTGGGTCGGGTGCCGGGACGCAGGGTCAGACGATTCATGCACGTCCTTCCATCGCAGCCTTCTGGAGACCTGCACTCACCTCGAGGTGCCCTGGTTCCGCCCCTGACCCCCAGGAGCCAAGGAACTGTCGGTCCAAAGCCTTGGCCCAGCCTTCGCCTGGCCGCAGAGCAGCGCGTGCACTCGAGCCTAGGACCCAGCTGGGGTCACCCTGGCAACGCTGGGACAACTCAAGAGCAGCCTCGCGTGCGCCTCCTGGACCGGCTTGGAGCGGAGCCCAGATGGGTGGCGATGGTGGGGAGCCCTGGGGATCTCTAAGCCCAAGGAGCAAGCCTCTCTCCCTTGCCCCTCGCTCTCTACAGAGGAGGAGGGGAGGGATGGAGTGGGGAGTGGGGGCGGGACTTTGAAAAGGGCCTATGTTTCCCCTGGAGACAGTAGCTTGGCCTGGCTTGGTGCCCACAGGGCTGCCAGGGGTGAGAGAATGAGCTTTGGACTGTGAAGGAGGGAGGAAAAATGGTTACCAGGGAGTCGTAGCTGAAAAAAAGGAGTCAGGAGGTGGTCAGCAGGCATCTAACAATACTTTACAGAGCTCTCAAGTTGGCAAAGCACTTTACCCAAATGAAGGAGGCAGGCTGGTGTATTGAGAAGACTTTGGCTTAGGAGCCAGAGGCCCTGGCAGGAAATTCTCACTCTGCCACTTAAGCTGTAGGACCCAGGGCAAATCACTGACCTTTTGGGGTCCCAATCTGTAAAACTTAATGACTTCTCAAGTCACTTCCATCCCTACCTCTATGAATGCTTTAACTGGGTAACCTCTAAAGTCTAGCTACAATCCTAGGATCCTATTTGTACCTTACCCCATCTATTGGTTCAATCATCACCACAAGTTTCTCTGATAAAAGCCTAATTTCTCAGCTATCTAGGGAACTGAGTCAATTTGTAAAAGTAAGAGCCATCCCAATTGATAAATGGCCAAAGGATATGAATGGGCAATTTTCAGAGAAGAAATCAAAACTATCTATGGTCACATTAAAAAAATGCTCTAAATCACTATTGATGAGAGAAACAAAAATTAAATTAACTGTGAGGTGCCACCTCACATCCATCAGATTGGCTAACTTGACAGAAAAGGAAAATGACAAACGATGGAAAGGATGTGGAAAAATAGGTTCACCACTTCGTTGTTGATCAAGTTGTGAACTGGTCTGACCATTCTGGAGAACAGTTTTCCAGAGGGAAAACTGATGAACTCTGAGTGCGAATTAAAGTGTAATTTGTTCACTTTATTGCTTTTTTTTTTTCTGGTAACAGATAATATGGAAATATGTTTTGCATGGTTTCACCTGTATAATTGATATCATATTGCCTGCTTTCTCAACAAATGGGGAAAAGGCTGGAAGGAGGAAGAGAATTTGGAACTCAAAATTAAAAAAAAAAGAATGTTAAACATTAAATAATACAATTTTTAAAACAAAATGATACAGTTGGACAAGAAGACCTCATTGGCTCTTTCCAGATTTATATCTACGATAGTGTGATTTGAATTAAATTTATCTTTTTATGTGTCATACCTCCTACTAGATTTTATTTGTGTTTGTTTCTCTACTAATATTTAGTATAGAATTGTATACCATAGGCATTTGATAAATGCTTTCTGAATGAATGGATTAATAGCCTATAAGTCTACCCTCCTTGCAGCCATCAAAGCCCAGGTCTGACCATATCACTCCAGAGTTAAACTCCTACAGTGATTCCCTATTGTTTCTAGAGCCAAATCCAAAGTCCTTGTTTGGTATTTAAAGCCCTTCAGCAACATCTCTAGGCTTACAGCACCTCACTGTCTTTTCCTTCAAG